TCGTAACGAAGCAGAATATCGGAAATGTATTTTGGCCCTAAACCATTTAGTGCTTTATAAACTAACAAAAGGATTTTGAAATCAATTCTTTGACATACAGGAAGCCAATGTAAATACCTCAGAACTGGAGTGATGTGATCCACCTTTTTGGTCTTAGTGAGGACTCGAGCAGCAGCGTTCTGAATTAGCTGCAGCTGTCTTGATGGATTTCTTAGGGAGCCCTGTAAGGATGCTGTTACAGTAGTCGAGTCGACTGAAGATAAATGTATGGATAAGCTTTTCCAAGTCCTGCTGAGACATAAGTCCTTTAATCCTTTTGATATATTCTTCAGGTGATAGTAGGCTGACTTTGTAATTGTCTTAAATTGGCTCCTCAAATTCTGGTCTGAGTCCATGACTACACCAAGATTTCTGGCTTGATTTGTGGTTCTTAACATTACAGATTGAAGTCGAGCACTGACTTTCAATCGTTCCTCCCTGGCTCCAAAAACAATAACTTCAGTTTTATCCTTGTTTAATTGAAGAAAATTCTGGCACATCCAATAGTTGACCTACTCAATACAGTTACTCAGCGCCTGTATGGAGCATGTAAATGTTAAACAAAAGAGGTCCCAGAATGGAGCCTTGGGGAACTCCACATGTCATTTTTGTCAACTCAGATGTGTAATTACCTATAGACACAAAGTAGTCCCTGTCCTTTAAGTAGGATTCAAACCATTTTAGTACTGTGCCAGAAAGTCCAACCCAGTTTTCAAGTCTGTCAAGTAATATGTTGTGGTCGATTGTGTCGAATGCAGCACTGAGATCCAATAATACTAAGACTGAAATTCTGCCACTGTCGGTCTTTAAATGGATGTCATTGAAGACCTTAACAAGAGCCGTCTCAGTGCTGTGGTGTGGTCGAAAACCTGACTGGAAAACATCAAAACAGTTATTTAGTGCCAAGAAAGCACTAAGCTGTTGAAAAACAGCTTTTTCAGTGATTATACTTAAAAATGGGAGATTTGATATGGGCCTATAATTGCTCATTAGTGAACTGTCCAGATTGCTCTTTTTTAAGAGTGGCTTAATGACTGCAGTTTTCAGGGCCTGTGGGGAAAAAACCTGAGAGAAGAAGTTTGGGAAGCAGCATCCACTGTGACTGTTCAAAGGTGCATTTTGTGCGCTTCAACAAGGCACTAGGTGATGCTCACAGTTCGAAGCGTATTTATAACTCATTTGAAGTATAGCGCTGTTTTGTTTTAAGTATTTTTTACTTGTAGCACGTAAAAACAGTGCTGTCACTCTGCAGCTTGACAATTTGTAGTAAATCTGAGGCCACGCATTTAGAAACATTTTTGAAAAAATCTGTTGGCAGAATATCAAGGCAGCATGAGGAGCATTTCAGATGTTGTATTATGTCCTCCAGGTTTTTATGGTTAATAGAATCAAATTGTCTCATGCTATATGAATTGTTTTTAAGTGGACACAGGGGCAAGACATATCCTGTTACTGACATGGAGGTACTGATTGCTTGTCTAATTGTTTGAATTTTGTCTGTGGAGAAGGGAGCAAATTCATTGCAGGCCCTGGTGGATAGAAGTTCAGAGGCTACAGACACAGGAGGGTTGGTTAGCCTGTCGACAGTAGCAAACAGGGCACATGCATTATTAGTGTTTTTGGTGATGATGTCAGAGAAGAAGGACCGCCTTGCATTTCTCAGTTCTAAATTAGAAATGCGAAGTCTCTCTTTATAGACGTCATAATGAACCTGGAGATTTGTTTTCCGCCACCTGCGTTCAGCTTTTCGACACTCTGTTTTTTGAGTTCTGACCAGCATGGCATTTCTCCATGGAGATCTTCTCCTACCAGAGACCACCTTCACCTTGGCTGGTGCAATGGAATCAATAACATTTGTAATTTTAGAACTAAAATGATCTACAAGCTCATTGACTGAGACCCGTGAGTGTTGAGAAAGCCTCAATCAATTTTTCACTAGTGTTTTCAGTGATAAGCCGTTTTGTGATTACCTCTGTTTTAACATTTGTGTGCACGCAGATAGCACTCTCAAAGAAAACACAGGAATGATCAGAGAGAGCAACATCAGTCACCACAACCTTGGAAATGTCCAGACCCTTGGAGATGACCAAGTCCAAAGTGTGCCCCTTATTGTGCGTGGGCCTCCTCACATGTTGAGTCAGTCCATAATTATCAAGAACACAGCACAGTTCTTTAGTCCCTCTGTCCTGGGGGTTGTCAACATGGATGTTAAGATCACCAACAATAACCACACAGTCAAAGTCAATACAGATTATAGACAGCAGTTCAAAAGTTCCAAAGTCATCAAAGAAGTTTGCACAGTATTTAGGGGGCCTGTAGATATTTAGAAAAATAGCTCGAGAAGAGGAATTCAGCTGAAGAGCCACATATTCAAAAGAAGCAGAATTCCCATAAGACATCTTTTTGCATTGAAGGGAGTCATTAAACAAAATGGCAACTCCACCTCCTCTCTTATGCACTCTAGCTTCACTCATAAAACTGGAGTTGGGAGGGGTAGACTCAATAAGGACAGCTGCACTGTTATCTTGGTCCAACCAAGTTTCAGTTAAAAACATGAAATTAAGATTGTGAGTTATTATAAAATCATTGATTAAAAATGTTTTTCCTGCCAAAGACCTAACGTTTAACAAAGCTAATTTTAGTGTGTTAAAAACATTATCTGGCCCGCTTTTTTCAACAGGCTGTGGCTGACGAGGAATTAATACTAAATTTGCAGGATATGTTGAGTGCTTCCTGTTTCTTAACACATTCACCATGCCTTTTCTGTTACCTAGCAAGACAGGGATGGAGAAGACTACCAGTAGTAGTGTAGTGTAAAAGCGCTTTGAGTGGTCAAAAAGACTAGAAAGGCACTATACAAGTACGGAGCATTTACATTTATTTGAAGCTTCTATAGATTATTTCATCGATACATCGTTTAAGAAGTACTTTTGCTTGGCGGCGGCGCCCCTCCTCCCCCACGGTAACGGGATCAGCTGTGTGGATTGATAGATGATAGATATTTATTTGTCCTTTCGAAATTAGTGTGTCATACAGCAAATATCAGACCAACAACATCAACAGACCAACAACTAGACCACTGCTTTACATCACCCGAGTGCTAACGTTAGTATAACTTTCAGCTCCCTGACACCCGGTTAACTCATGACTGTGAGGTTACAACTCACGGCCCTACCAGGAGAACAACAAACGCACAAGTGTACATTTTCAGCTGAGGTCTGCGGCTTACTTTAGCTAGCCTTCAACTCAACAATCAATCATGATTTCAGTTAAGTGCTAAAGTAGCTGTTACCTTGTCTGTGGTCCGCTGGCAGAACACCGGGTGCTTTCTGATCAGATGCTCTCGTGCTGTTGGTAGGCGACATAAGTTTCATTTTATGGTGGACGGATTGTGACATCACAGAGTTGTTGTTTTCTTTAGTTTGAAATAATCCCACGTTCTTCTTCGTCCCTCGCTATTTTCTCTCTCTTCCTACACTTTTCAGACAGCGGCATCATAATCACGTCGTGTTCACACAGTGTAAGAGCGATGTGTGGCAGTAATAAATGTCTGTGCGAAACAGTATGCTATACAGTGATGTGGACTAAACAAAGCATTGATGCAAAGAATTTGCGTCGATGCATTTTAGTAATCGATTTAATCGATGAATTGTTTCAGCCCTGCATCAATCTATATCGGTATAAACGGTATTGACTAATTTTATCTCTTTTGAAATGATATCTGTATACCTCATTATACCGATAAACGGCCCAGTCGTACCCTATAGCAGAATTTTCTTTCTATAGACTGACTAATCGAGAAAGTGCTGATGACTTACAACCTCAGGACAAACCTTACACTTTAGCTCCAACTGTAGCAAGGGCTGTGTACTGAACTCGATATAACGGCACCGTTTGCTCTTCAGAAACCTATGTGCGATGTCACGGGCACTATGTCCATGTTTTATATGGTCTATGATTACTAAAAATTTCAAAATTTGCACCATTGATTGCAAGACTGTTTGGCCATTTGACAACTCAAAACTACAACATTTATTTGAGGGAGAACTATTGACCATCACACAATTATTTGTTTCTGATTAATCACTGTGTCCTTTTTGTTTTTGGAGCGGGAAAAAAAGATAGGCTAACTGTAATATATAACCATTTCCCTTCATCGAGACTCATTGGACTACCAGGTGAGAGAGGATCCCGGGGCATTGCTTCTTCTCTCCCAAAGATTCTGGTAGCCATGGTAGCTAACGAGGGTTGTTAAGATGGAAGGTATAAAGGTGAACTGGCGGTGAACAAAGGGAAGGTTGCTGTGGCTTCTGCTCGTCAGCTCACAGTAACGAGCCAACTGATGTGGAGCTTTACTGTTTCTTTATAATTGCTGTGTTACTGTCTGCTGGCCCGGCTATGTAAGGTGTCTGATTACACTGCTGCTGACAGTAAACTAGCTTCTCCCCCGAGCATTAATCTACCTATTAAAAATCTCCAGCCTGTGTGTTTACAGCTGCAGCAGTACACGTTCATGTTACCATTTTGTATTCAGGTGACTCTTATCAATAACCTCTTGTAGTGAGCTCAGCTGCAGAGCATGCTTTACTTTCTGGATCACATTTAACGAGTAGTAAGGAGGTCAGATGGTCATAGCACCCTGAACCATTAGAAATGATGATGATGATGGTGGTAAAGAAACGTTCAGGAAAGGCGAGAGTCAAACATCAAACATGTCTCCACTAATGTGGAACCTACATTTTTATTCTTCATACACAAAATGCTTTTAATTTCCAGAACCATCTTCAAAATAAATAGGAGGCAAAGTGGGACTTAAAAAGAAGTAAGGCTGCAAAATAAAACACGGACTAAAAGGAGAGATTGAAGGGTCATGATGATCACTCTGTTTTATTGGTATTAGTTCTTGAATAGTCTTTTCTGTTATACTGTTTAACCGAAGGCTGTCTGTATTTTCCTGACAGGACTAGAAACATGGCTGGCGCGGCACAAGGTCCCGTGGTTGGCCGGCCATTGGCATTTGCCAATGAAGAGCAGAGGGCGGTTCACTCCTGGTCCCGGATTTCGTCAGCGGGGCATAACGTCCTCATAGATGCTCTAAAGATCCTCAGCCCGATGTCCCGTGACCTCTCGAGCAGTGAGGAGCTGGTCACCTTCCTGCGGGAGCTGAGCGAGGAGGGCCACAAGCCCACTGTGCTGCGCAGCAAGGAGGTGTACGGCTACCGCTCCTGCACAAGCCAACCTCTTACTGAAGACATGCTGAAGCCACCTAACCGGAACGTCAGACCCACTGCCAAGAGGAGGGGACGGAGGCTCCAGGCCAAGAAGAGAGAGGTGCACCCTTCCTGGAACACTTCTGAGAGCAGCAACCCCAGGATTCAAGGGGTCCGCCCTCCAGAGATGTGGGTGGACCATCGTGCAATCATCTGCAGCAGGACATACGGTCGGACTGTAGAGATGTCTCAGGCGCTGCAGGTGCGGCCATGCCTCAGACTGACCAACATTGAAGGCCTGTCTGGCTTCCACACGGCCAGACTCCAGATCCACACTTCCTGGGACTCGTCTTCTGAGCAACAGCAGCAGCACCCTCCAACGCTTTCAGGAATACCTTTTCAGCCTTCTCAGAATGGTGGCGGGGCACCCACCAAAGCTGTGGCCTTGTTCAGCCAGAAGAGCCTGTCCTGTCCCATCCGATTGGACGGCGCCCTCATTGGTGATTCTGCGCCGGTCTTTTATGCTAATGGCCGAGCATTCCCAGAGACTCACACGGAGCTAACCAGCAATGGATGGAGGAGCAATGGCCTCCACCGGGATAGTCGGGGCCCCAAGGAACTGAACAACCAGACCAGGCAGAGAAACGGCTGGAAGGACAAGAATGGTTTTAGATGGAAAGTGGTAAAGGTGGATGACTCTCGCTCGGTGGCTGAGGCCCGCAGAAAAGCGCAGAAGATTCTGCAGGTGAACCTGTCTCCAGTTATTCAGATCCAACCTCTCAACCATGTGCTGAGAGACTTCAGATACCAGAATAAGTGACAATTCCCCCAAACACACACACATTGTTTCCTTTAGCAGATGTTAGTGTTTTACATCCATTAGCCTATACCTGGCTGAGCCCCAGTGTTCATAGCAGACGTCTTACATGGGTTTTTGTGATCTCTGCTGAGTGTTGGAGGTAGAGAAGTTTGTCTGTGGAATTTCTGGTTCCTGGCACTTGGGATTGAAAGGCATTTGAAGTTGGGTGAGTTGTTACTTTTCCCAGCAGGCTGGGAAATGAGTATCTGCCGAATGCTGGTACATTTTCATGGTCTACATTAGTTTACGCTACACATCATTCTGCTTCGGGCTGACTAGCTGCTAGCCGATGTTGATGAAGTTTGGGAAGCAGCATCCACTGTGACTGTTCAAAGGTGCATTTTGTGCGCTTCAACAAGGCACTAGGTGATGCTCACAGTTCGAAGCGTATTTATAACTCATTTGAAGTATAGCGCTGTTTTGTTTTAAGTATTTTTTACTTGTAGCACGTAAAAACAGTGCTGTCACTCTGCAGCGCCTTATTTTCCACTGGAAAGAGGGAAAGTGGTTGGTTGGACCCAGCAAAACATATGAACTAAACAAACAAAAGGAAAAAAGAAAGATGTGTTTAATTTGTCTTCCTTTTTTGTATTTCTGTTGTTTCCACTGGAAATCGGGAAGGCTCCGGGAGCGAGTACAGCAGGGAATCAAACCCATGGCCCGGGGGAGAGAGAGATTGAAAGCTGCATTACTTGTTTGAACTACAGTCCTTCACAAAGTGTTCCTTTGGTTTAGTATATCCACAATGAGACTTGTAGAGTATTTTTGACTGTTTGGAAGATTAGACAAAAATGAACCAATGAAAGCAACTGCAGGAAACTGAGTATAGAAGAGGACTTGAGCCTTGTTAAGACATTTGACTTCTGAGATTAAGCTTTAAATCTTAATTGTGGGAAAACATGAGAATGTTGAGATACAAGAATTTCAAAGTTGATTTTCCAGAATGAAGGTTTTTCCCTCAAAATTCTTATACTCCTGTTATGGTCCTGGTCCACCTCCCATAAGATGTTTCACACCAGATACAAAAACACTGAGATGTACACTCATTGGAAATGAGCATCAGCTGCTGGTATAATTCCATTCAAGATTACGTTTGTCCAGTACATTTCTGTAGGCCTACTATACAGGCAACAAGCTATTTTCAGTTGAGGTCCTGATGTAAGACATTTGTTTGGCGGATTTAAACATGTTTGTGCTTGAACTGCAAGCTGGTTTGTTTCCTCAACGGTTCAATTTAAAACTGCCACATCAGGAAGTTTTACCTCCCATCAGAACTCATTTCTGCTGTTTTAAGTCGATGACGAGAATTGCCCAAACAAAATCTACTCGATACTTTCTTGAATCCCTCAGCTCTCAAACGGTTGTGGCTCACCTTAAAACAAAAAAAAGCACTTTGAGAGTGTGACAGTGCTCCATTGTGACCTGTCCCTTAACACGAAAATATTTGAAATAATTTCTAAAATTTGGTTTGACTTATTTTGAACCCACACAGTTTTTGCTACAGGTGCTAACTTTGCAACGTTGGTGCTGAATTAAATGACTGGCACTAGAATGTCATCAAGTTTCTCCTCTTCTAGTTCTGATTGGAGCATTTAAGAGGAGCGACTTCCTGTGAGCTATTTCCTGATAGACTGATAGTGCTGCTGCCCCCTGCAGGTTGGGATGAGCATGCCAAACCGCCTTGTGTGTTCTCCAAAGGGTTTCTACTGAGAAACCACCTGAATTCATTTTCATGTTATCTGTGAGAAACCCTGTGTATTCCCCGAAAAAGTTCGTTTGAGATGTTTGGGCCAAACCACATTCCACAAGACAAATAAGTTGTTACTGAGCGCCAAAGTTTGTTTTTTATCTATGAAACCATACTTTAGCAGAAAATCTTAACTCATAGTCCACTTACTGACTTTTTTCCCGGAGCTTTTACTGATCTCAAGACCATTGAAATATGAATGAAAGCTGTGGGGGAAAAGCCAGTAATCAGAACTTGATTTTAAGATTTTGTTTGTCAAACTACATTTTTATTATTTTTTCTTTTTAGCAAAAAAGAAACTAAACTAAACCCCCATCGGGCCAGTTAATGAGGACTTTAGATTCAAAAACTATGAAAAAGATTCAGTAAAAACTAAAACTTGATTTCCAAACATCTGTTTCATACTTGAATGCTGTGGAGCCTCTTACAGGCTAATCAGATTTAAAGTGGATATCTCTGCTTTCTGATTTAGGACCACGTACTATGAATTGTCATATGTTGCCCTGTTTAAACTAGGCCACATCAGTGTTTGGTGGTCGGCTTTAAAGATTTCCACGTCTCTGTTCTGGTGAATTTTACGTTCCGACAGAGTCTCTCGGTTTCCTCGTGCCCCTCCCTGATCGGTCTGTACTCAGTCATGTTCACCACCGACAATTCCCTTTTCTAGATCTTTCTGTTAGTCTTGTTTGTGCAACACTTGTATAATATTGTATTTCCTACATGATCTTTGAAAACGTTTTTTGTTCAATAAAACTGATCTAAAAAGAATGTGTAGGTTTTTTTTTTGTTTTCCTCATCTACGACCTTTTCTATAACGTGACTCACTTCGGTGGGTACAGTACAATCTAATGCTGAGGAAGTATAATTAGATTACCATGTGATCAGATTATTTATCTTCTTAGACCCGTCTCATCAAGCCAAATATCATTGGGCTGTTTTTGGCTGTAGGTGCTTGATTAAGTTGTGTTATCTGATCCAGCTATTTGAGTCAATATCCGGGAAGGGTACAGATGCAGATGCAATGGGTACAAAGTTGTTCATGTAAGACTGATATTTTTGATTTGGGTTGATCAAAAGATGCAAGATGAAGCTTCAGAACAATGTTTAGATCACAATAGTATCAGAACGTGTAAACAGAACATTATCTGTCCCAAATGCTCGTTTCAGCCAAGTACTCGCTGCACCCTGATCATAAGAATCTTAGGCTGCAGAATCAGTGACATCTTTTATATCACTTCTCAAACACATCTTGAAAGAACCTGGTTCCTAGTTCAACCATGTAAAGTGATTGATCACTTTCTTTTAAAGGAGACCTATGATACTGCATTTCCAGTCCTATATTGTAGTTTTGTGACTCCTCTATAGCTGCTTTGCATGATTCAAAGTTTAAAAAAAAAATCACTTTCTATCTTATACTGACTCTTCGTGTAGGCCTTCATCTCAGCCAGTCTGAAACAAGTTGTAGATGCTCCTGTCTCTTTAAGACCCCCCCCCTTAAAGCCCACTGTCTTGTGATTCTGATTCTGCCAAGGCCTGAAGCATGTTATAAGGCTGTTGTCACTGAGCGGTACAGACAGACTGAGAGTTGCTGTGCGGAGCAAATGACCATATATGGAATACCGGCTCTGTCTAGCTCCATGTGTCGTAGAACAGAGCCCTTAGTAGAAAAAGCTGTTGAAAACAGCATTCAGAACAGGAGGAAATCTGAGGTTTTGGCTCACAGGGATTTCTTTTAAATACTTTTATCTCATTATTGAAGCTTTGGCCATGTTTAACATGAACATCCAACATTGTAGATAAGTCATAAAACATGGAAAAGCATAATAGGTCTTCTTTTCAAAAGTGCTATATAAAAAACTGTTTATTATTATGATTATGTACATATATTTATCGGTGGGATAGTGGTAAAACAAATTGTGCATTTTATGGTCCAGAGTTGAAGGCTAAGGTGACATGGAGAACTGACAATATAACAGTATATTCAGGTGAAATAATGGCAATTTATTTCACTCTACTGTGGATTCTACTGTGGATTCTACTATGCTCAGACTCAAAGTGCAACAAAGATGCAGTGGCAGGGTTTACAGGATGGAGATCTGAAAAGAAGACATTTGTATTAGATCCAGCAAGAAGTGGAAGTGGGAAGGTCACTTGGAGAGAAGACTGTCTGATAAATCTGATTAGACTGGGACACACTAAACTAAATTCATCTTTACACCTCATTGAAAAGCATCCAAACTGTGATTTGTGCAATCAAATTGAGACTGAGGATGTCATCTGTGTTTATCTTAAATATGCAAATCAAAGACAGGCATGAGATGGAACGTCAAGAGATTAAATACACAGACCTTAGAACAATCTTCACAAACAGGAAATTGGAAGCATGTCTTCACATCTACAAGACAGGGCTGAAAACAAATACGCACTGGTCAGATCTCAAACAAAACAGTTCAAAATCTTTACTGTACATTGTTGAATTCGTTAAGAACGAAATGACATAACTACGGTCAATGGAAACTGCTCAGTGTGAAACTGCTCTCATTCGTGAAGAGATCCAGGCGCCAACAGCGGATCCACCAATTATGGTGTTGTCTGGCAAATGCCAGCTGAACTGCACGGTGCTGGGCTGTGAGCACAGATCCCACAAGTCTGTTTCTGACAGTTTGGTTAGAAACATGCACAGCAGTAGCCAGCTGGAGGTCATTATGTAGGGCTCTGGTAGTGCTCCTCCTATTCCTCATCACACAAAGGAGCAGATACCTGTCCTGCTGCTGGGTTGATGCCATTCAACAGCCCTCTCCAGGTCTCCTTGTGTAACAGCCCATCTCCTGGTATCTCCTCCATGCTCTTTAGACTGTGCTGGAAACACAGTAAGCCTTCTTGAGACAGCACTTAGAGATGAGCATTCCTGGAGGAGCTGGAGAAGCTGGACTACCTGTGCGAACCTGAATGGGCTGCAGGTTCCTTATGCTACCAGTAGTGAAAAAGGACACCAGCAAAACTAGAGAACAATCAGTCAGGAAGGATAATGAGAGGATACTGTCTGTGGCCACCACCTGCAAATCCATTTCTTTTTTGGAGGGTTGTCTTGCTGTTCCCTCACCAAAACATCTGTTATCACATTTTCATTCACCCAAATAAAATACACTGATTTGCAATCACTCCTGCTTCCTAACTGGTCAGATTGATATCCCTGAAGTTTAATCGACATGATGTTATACAGTAATGATCAAATGCTTTTTTTGAGCAGTATTTCCATTCTGCAACACTACAGAACTACTAGAGGATGAACTGAAGAAGTTCAACCTGCCCAAATAATACCAATACATTGATGCAAATCTTTGGATTATTGTTTTTCACATATTCTTTATACTATAAACATTTGCACATTCCTTGGTCATATTTTGCACATTGCATCCTTTGTTGTACAGCTGTATTAATTTTAAAAAGTTATATTTCACATATTTTCTGTATATTTTTCTAAATTGACTTCTGCAGTACTTTATTTTCTTTTTTCTTTAACCAAAACACCAAGGCAAATTCCTTGACATGAAAACCTACTAGGGTATAAACCTGTTTCTGATTTAGTTGGTGGATCAAAGAAGATCGACGAAGAAGAAGAGGAAGGGTAATTGGGCTCTACGTCATGCGAAAGCTGAAGGTGAGTCATGTGAAGTTAATTAAAGATATGAACGTGGTCACTGTGAGTCGTCAGAAGTCATTAAAATCAAACAACACAGTTTGTTTTCAGTAATGGTGACGTGCATTTTAACTGCATTTGACTTTAGCTATCAGCAATGCAGGGAGGAGAGGAGTTGAGGTCTGAGCAGCTGGATGTTTTTACAGCCTGGATTTTTACGACTTTATCTCCATAAATAAAGAGAAGACCTTCATACCGTGAGTTATACTGTGGGATGACACACCGTCTCTGTCTGTGCTGTCGTTTTGCTTGCTCCTGATTACATAATCATGTCCTTTATGATTATTTGTAACGTGACATGTGATAACATGAGTTGATTGGTATCGTGGTTGTAAACTCTTGGTCTTGATTGTGTAATGGGCTTAGATGAGAGAGCTGGAAGTCAAGTATCACTGATTCTTTTGAATGTGACTGTCAACTTTCAAATGTTATCTGTGAATATGGATACTGCAGTTATACTGCGTATCTATAATCCGCTAATAATACAGCTTTATTAATTAGTCTGCATAAGGTTAACTTTAAAAGTGTGCGTCACCTGGCGGCTTACTAATGCTAGCTACTGTTATGACCATTGTTTTGTAGTTAGCCATCTAGTTTTGCCATTGAATCTCAGTGAGGTTGGTTATAAACTCTGTCCCTAGCTAACTGGTTTTGAAACGAGTCCAGTAAAATCTTCTGAAATATGCGCACAATTGCTACGTACATTATATTGTGCTAAAAGACTGACAGCAGCAGGTGCGCCGCATGTGGAGGAGGCTTGTTGACGATGTAGCTTGAGAAATGATGAAACTAACTTGGCACCGAAGACATCTTCACTGGTGTGTTCACTGTCACTTTACCTGGTCCGTGCTTGTAAAATATCCACCATGTCCGCGTACTTTAACGTAATTGGTAATAACTATCTCCGTTTCTCTGCAAAATGCAAAAATGGGTCGCCAAATATATCTTGGCAATCCGCCAAGTAAAGTCTATGTGTGGGAGAAACACTGAGCTGATGCTTTTTAGAGGTTGCACGCCTTTGGAGCAACTAAGGGCTAAGTGTATTGCTCAGAGACACATTGGTAGATGTGTCGCAGTGGGAATCGAACCGAGGTCTCTCACAACAAAGGCATGTGTCTTATCCACTGCACCATTGATTTTTTTTTTTTTTGTGTGTGTGTTTTTAATAGTGGGATTAGATATCTGGGAATATCCAATTCCATGACAAATACCAATAAGATGTGGTTTAGCAAACTGACGCTACGGTTGCTGCTGCAAAGCTAACATGCAAAGAGGATGAGACAGTTTCCCAGAGTCAGCACACCAGCTCCAGACTGCAATACTCACAACTCTCCTGCTACTATAGCTAACATCACAATAACGGCATGTCTTGGTGAACTAGAAAGTATGCTGGATGTTGGTGGGCGAGTCATTTATCATTACCTGACACACAAATCATGGCGGGAAAGTGTTGTGTGGTCAGATCCACTTTGTTTCCCATTTACAGAGGCAGGGCAGGAGATATTCGCTGAATTAGACAAAAAGGAAGGCGTTTATTTAATTAGAATTGCTTACCCTACATCTAAATGTGGGTGGACTAATCATTGTAGTGGCTGATGATTTTGTTGTCATGAAGAAGTTGGTTTCACAGAAACTCGACTGTCTTTTTTTTCTCATTTTGAGCAGTTTATACACTGAAACTCTGATCGCTGATCTTGTTACCAATGTAACGGCTTCACCGCCCGTTCTGTCAGTAAAGTTTGTTTGTTGACTGTAGTTGGGGTGTTTTTTGTTTTGTTTTTATTTTATTGTTTCAGAGCTGCTGTTGTGTTATAGCTACGAGCTGACAAGTCTGCTGGCATCATCTGTCTGCTGTGGGAGGTGGAGCTGGTGGGAAAACGAGATATCAGAGCCAAACTGGAAAAAAGTGACATTTCAGTGTGGATGGAGGGGGAGGAGGGGCGAAGGTTGAGTCAAGCAAGATGCTCAGCTGGCTGGTTTTTGACCTTTGATTCACAGCAGTTACAGCGGATTCTAATGGAAATGTCACAGTAAGAAAACAAAGTAAAAGGTCTAGAAACGTCACAGA